TGGTTTGCCTCTCTTCATCCTTGCCTGAGTCAGATATTATTACAACTGAGGCTCATAAACCACAGAAGCTTGTTCAGCAAGGGGGGGGGGGGCTGCCAAAGAACATGGGCTAGGAAGGGATCCTTCTAACTCTTGGCAGCTTCTGCGTTAAGAGCCCGTGGTGAACAAGCCTGGGAAGGTCCTCCTATGCAGTACTAAAGGCAAGACCAGATGCCAACTCTTACCCTGCCCCTTTTTCTAGGCCTGTGCAAGGAAATGATAGAAAGGAAGGGTTTTTGCAGTTGTCATATCCCTGTCCGAGTTTGTCCTGCAGATTTCAAAATAGACTATAAACCTTTCTTGCATCTATGCATTCTCCCATTATGAGACAACGATGGCATCAGATGCAGCATGGAATCCTGCCAGCCGGCCTTGTCCTTCCTTTCACAACATGCATATTGAAAGTAAAGTTGTTAAGAGGGAACCTGTTCTACATATGCAGGTTCCCCCTCCAGTGTTCAGATCCCCCTGCAAAATGTGGAAATCTGTACAGTGGAAGGAACTGAGCACGCAGAAAATCTTTTCAGATGCCCTCATTAACATGCATAAGTCATGTAGGACTATCCTAATTCACTGCCCTGGAATTTGCTTCTGTAAAAGGGTTGTGTCTAGTTTCTAGTTGAGCTTCCTTGGGACTCATACTATGAACAAGAGGTTGGATTCAGTGATCTACATGTGCCTACATATTCCCATATTCTGAGATATGTTTGAAGATGTACTTTTGGCTGGAATAGGGAAATGCTCAAAAGTTTAGACAAAAGCTCTTCTCAGTTCTCACTCTGAGATCTGTATTTCAAATGCATTGCATCTTAATTCTCTGATAAACAATTGACAGTATTTGTTGATTCACTTCTGCTTCATGGAGACTCTTCTGTTTTCATTCATATATATTATTCATAAATACTCAAAAGTACTGCCTCTTTTCTTTTTGAAGCAAATTTTTGCGTAAGAAGGAGGAATTGGGCAAAAATGCCCAGCAGTCAAATCACTTGCCCAAATATGAGAGAGTGAAAGAATTGTGTCAGCAAACACGATACCAAACAGCTTGTGAGCAACCTGGCCAGGTAAGCAGCAAACGATCACATAATATTGAATTATACCTCATACTTCTTTAAGAACAGATATGATAAGGCAGTGATTAATTTGATAACACATGGCATAGGGACCTGCTATTTAAGAGACCACCTATCTCCCATGGTTTTTGCCCAGCCAATAAGAACTGACAAGATTGGTGCATTCTGGGCCCCTTCAATAAACAGTGCCATCTATCAGGACCCAGGAAATGTGTCTTCTCCATCATGATGCCTGCCCTGTGTGGCTCCCGTTCTTTGTGCGTTGTATTTTTATTTTGTTTTCTTACATTGTCTGGAGTTGGTCTGGAGTCATGCAGCACATAAATCAGATAAATTAAATTAAATTAAATTACAGTCAAACAAGGTGGGACATCCATATTAGTTTTATCTGAACTCTGATCCATCACTTCTGCAGTCACAGTGGGCTAGTGAAATGCACGTTCACCAATGGAGAAATGTTCTAAGGCCATTAGCTATCTCTACTCTCCAGAATAGAGCTATGTTGAAAAGATTTCCATATGATGTTACTATCTGATTACCTCTGGGTCAACAGAATGGCAGACACAGTCTGAACTTCTTATTCATGGTATCCAGCAATTGTTAATTTTATTGGAGGCAGAAATAAAACAAAAAAAGAAAAGCAGGTTTATCAGATGGTTAGATCAGCCTATTTTCTCACCAGTGTCAGTTCTGCATCTCTGTGCCATATTATTCTTGCCTTAGTTATGCCTTTTTTAGAACTTCACAAATTTGCATAATGTTTTAATATACATTACACTAAAAAGTCCAGTTGGTTTATTTTTTGACAAGAACATTCTTGCAAAATTTAGAGACGAGTGAAATGCATTCCAGTTGCTCCGCTGTGCCAGAAAGTAAATGAAATATTCCTAGTCTAGCCATTTCCAGTCTGCCTCTGACTGAAAAGAAGTATCTGTTGATGATAATTATCAAATCCATTACTGCAGTATTAAGTTGATATTAAAAAGGAAGTTGATAAATTCCAGGTAGGGAGACACGGCATTGGCATATGTGGTTGTTAAATGGAGTCTTCTTGTTCAGAACTCTTGATTACTAACCAGAGGCTTGGGGGGGGGGGGGGGGGAGGCAGCTGTAAAAAAATGGGGAATGTGTTTTACCTTGTTTTTGTTGATCCGTTTGCTGTTTCTCAAAATGCTGTTTTTTCCTCTAAAGGCAATTTTAATTTTCATCTTGATTAATTCTTCTATCAGAAGTTTCTCAGCATGTCACAAATTGTCAACACTAAAAGCACTGCTGCAATTCATCAAGGAGCATACAGTACTGTACTTTAGACATATAGAATGTAGCTTAATGGGTAGTCTTGTTTGGCTTGTTTGCTCACAAAAGCACTCTTCATCCACAGTCTGATGAAGGTCATTTTTATGGAAGTCCACAGAATAGTGATAAAAAACACTTCAGCTGATAAAAGCTAGATAGAAGTAGTTATTAAGTCCCAAGAACCCACTAAAAGCATTTAATATTATTATTCTGCACAAAAACATCACTGATTGCAATACAACTATGTAATATTTACACAGTTATATTGAGCCACATTAAGCATGATTATCAGACTAAAATCCAGACTCTGTTAGTGCATGTGTTGAAAGGGACAATAATAAGCTAATGCATTTTCCCACTATTATATTTCCCATTATTATATGCAGCATGAAGGGTAGCACAGTAAAGACTGCATAGATGTGTGGTATGCAGCAAAGTTTACATGCATAAGTACAGGTATACATTCCTATCACAGTATTTTTTGGAGGGTTAAACAACATTATGCAAAGCACAGAAAAGGAGTAAGAAAGAGTAAGTAAAAGAAATTTTTAAGGCATGAGATAAATAAAGGAAACATAGCTAAAGCTAGTTTACACCCACATAACTCACTATACCTCTTCAGTATCTTTCTATGCTTGTAAACCAACTTTGTCTTAGTCATGTCCACATATACACAGATTCATACATTTTATTTTCTTTAAACTTCTTTCTTTTTCAGGATTTCATCAACTCTATCCAACCATGACTTTCTCAGTTTTCCCTTTCATCTCAACCCATTCAGACTTCCTGCATATATACTTTGTGCAAGTCAGTCCCGTTCCTTCTCCCTGTATGACCAAAGAACTGAAACATACTTCTTTCTACTGGTCACTGTCCTTTACAGGTAGTCCTCAAGTTACGATGGCAACTGGGACTGGAATTCCATTCCTAAGCGATGCAGTCATAAAGTGTGATGTCACATGACTGCAATACCTGCAGTCCCCGTTGCCATTGTTGAGCGAGGATTGTGGGTCATTAAGGGAGCACCTCCTTGCAACTTCCTACCAGCTCCTAACAAAGTCAGTGGGGAAGCTGGCAAGAAGTTGCAAGTCCCAGGCAGCTTGCAAGCAGGCCAGCAGGGGGTAAGTGGCTGCTGCCAGAGGGGGAGGATGCGTGAAAGTGCATGAATGACGGAGGCACGGCCCAAGCCCATTGGGGCTTGGGGTGGCTGCTGCCAGGTGGGAGAGGGTGCGTGAGAGTACATGAGTGGCCAGGGAGGGTGTACACATGGCTGAGGAGGGTGCACGAGTAGCTGGGGAGATGCAGTGTGAGCACAAAGGGGCTGGAGGAGAGTGCGCAAGTGGAAGAGACTTACCCAAGCAACTTGCGACCTTCCCTGCCAGTTTCCCCATTGACTTTGCTTGTGGGAAGCCGGCAAGAAAGGTCACAAATTGTGATCACGTGATATGGAACACTGCAACTGTCATAAGTGCAAGCTGATTGCCAAGTGCCCAGTTCACGATCATGTGACTGCAGGGGTGCTGGGATGGCCAGAATTTCAAGAACTGGTCGTAACCGCCACTTGTCAACGCCTTCATAATTTAGAACAGTCACTGAACAAATGGTCATTAACTGAAGACTACCTGTATATCCAATCCACCTTCATTCGGCACCCATTCATTCTTGACTGATCTCTTATTTTACTACATATATTGCAGTGCAGACCAAGTTGAGCAGATTTAAATCTTGCTGAATCATATGAACAAGTTCTGTACTCTATATTGTACTTTTTATGCCTTGACAGTCAAACTTTCCAGCATATTTAAAGCTTGAATTGTCAGCTGGCCGTATTTCTTTCCCTAACCTTCAGGCGTGCCTATCATTGAGACATATTTTGTAGATGATGTAATTAATTTCCTTATTACATGAAAGGTTTTTGTGGCTGCTTCAAGCTGTCACAGCATATTAAATAAATGGTGTTCACTTTATAGTCTTCAGTGGGACATTTATTGCACTTTAATGATGTTGAATACAAAGCTATATTAACACTCTTACAAAAACCAATAAATGGAGAGCATCATAATCTACCTCATGTGGTTTACTGCAAATCTTTCCCAAACTGTGTTTGTCACCATTGGTTCTCTCGGTAATTTCTTGAACAGACAGGACAAGTTTCTTTCAGATAGCTAGATCCGTGAGAATAATTTCAGAAAAGAATGTAGCAAGAGGATGGAAGCGCAAGGTCAGGGATTGCTCTGAGAAAGGGTGGCAATGCATCCTCTAATGGAAAGCCATTATACATACAGTCAAGACAGGCATGCCTATATATTCTTACACCCATAAGTTGTTTAAGTTTCATGGTCAGAATAAACCATTAGGTGTTCCTGGGAAAATCAGTAAAAATCTTTGCTGTTCTATTACAGTATGGTCCTATCAGATGATCTTGGGCAAAATGCAGTTCTCCATCTATAACATAAGAATAATTTGCCTATCTCCAACAGGACAGTGAAAACACCAATGATAAAGAAACAAATTCAGATTTTTGGCAAGTAGCACATGTTTTACAACTTTGGTACTGGAATTATCTTCCCTCACTTCTACATCCTCTGATTACAATTTAAACCTACTCAATATTCCTCAGCATGGTTGATAAGAGTGCATTACGTTTATTTTTGAGTGTAAAAAACATAAAGATGGGATTGTTCTATTAATTACCTTGGATATTCTCTGAAAATTACACACAGTATCCTGGCAGTTGAACGGCCATAGCATAAATGCACTTCAAATAAATGCAACTTACTCTGAACTATAAGTCCACCCACCTAGACTTCCACTGATGCCTACCTTTAGGTTGTGCTTGAAATATGTATTTCTTCAAACCCTTGTTGATAAACCTAATTTTATTTCCATGAAACAGCTAGGCCAGAAATAAAATCTGAAAGTTCTTCAGGGAATGAATTTTATGCTGTAGTTTTTAAAAAAACACAGACACAGTAGTTATGTCTAATATTTTGCTCCTCAGCTTCAGTGTTGCAGGTTTATCAGATTAGTTTGGAGATATGAATTCCAACTCCTCTCAACATATTAAGCTGGATTGAGGATGTGCTATGATTGATAATCAATATTTTAATATTTAACCAAAGAGTTCAAGATATATCCATTCCGTAATACCAGGTAACACATGAGACATATAATATTAGTGACAGAAAGAAATAAAAAATATTCTACACTTTTTCTAGCATTTCACTTTCAGTTCAGTGAAAGAGAAGTTATTGAAGATGTTATTTCAAAGGAGAAAAGGATTTTTAGAGAAATCCTGATGGGTGGAGTGGAGTATACTTGTCCTTACCAAAGTACCAAGTTGTCCTTACCAAAGTACCAACCAAGAGGCCATGGGATGTATGTGAATGCCCTGTCTCACCGTATAAGCACCTCTCCAAAAATCTGCAGTCTCCATGGCTCCCCACACTTCAGTTCAATCCTAAGGGAAGAGATAATGAGGAACGGTATCTAACTGGGCTTTTTTGGTAGTGGTACTACTATCACCAGCAAAAGTGAATCCAGCCTTTGAGATATTGCTGGAGAATATCTTCTTCCCCTGGAGGAATACAGAGAAATCATCCTTCCACAGTTTCTCTGCTTTCCAACTTGATGAAGAATTTTTAAAGGCCACTTGTGCTTAGTCCTGGATATCTGATAGGTGTTGGGCAGGGAGAATAAGTGGGAGTTCCTTGGGGTTAGAGATATAAACTGCCTCTGCTACACATTGAAAGAGTCTGTGTAGGGAGTTGTGGATTAACTCTATCCAGTGCCTGAATACTCACTGTAATTTTCTTTCCCTGACAAACATTTCTGAGAATGAGTTCTCCATTTGAGCAGATGAGCGTAGATATCTTCAATATTCATTAAGGCATTCTGTTTAGTCAGGGTGCCTCCTCATCAAGGATGGAGTTACCTGATGACTGTAATATCCATCTGACTCAAGTACTACTGAGCACCAGATTAGATGCCATACATTTCAGTTATGCCTATCCTCTCACTGGGCTCAGTTCCAGTAGTGATAGGTACGCTGTTGGAAGACCTGAAGGACCAGGTTGGGGACAGATCCTCCTGGAGAAAGTCTGTCTGTGTAGTCACTAAGAGTTGACACCGACTTGATGGCTTGATCCTCTTGCTAATGATGTAGCTTCCTGGTGATCATGAACAGATCAGTTCCCATTGAATATGGTTGTAACTTTATTAAATAAATCATTACTTTTCTACCAGAATTATTTTTCTACTACTAGCTGTGAATCCACCTTTCTCAGAACAAAGAAACCTGTATGCATCTCAAAACATTAAATTATAGGCAGAGTACTGCCGACCCCTTTTGGTAACAGGTAAGAAGTGCAGGCTTAACTTTTTCAAATAATAACAACAATAACAACAAATGAAGGCACTCTCCCATACCGCTGCTGCTTTTCTTCTGAAATTTTGCAGATTTGTTTGGTGTAGCTGTATCTCTGCTCTGTGCCTTTTTCATTGCCTACAGACCCCAGGGATATTTATATATGTCTTATTTTTGGAAACCTAGAAAACATTTTATTATTTATTTATTTATTTATTTAAAATTTTTGATAGAAACCTAGCAAACATGATTTCATTCCCAAAATGGGATATCATTGTTTAGAAATTTCATGCAGTTCTGCCCAAGGTAAAGCCAAAACCAAAATGAAGTTTAAAGAGACATGAAAGTCATGCAAATACCTTTCGAATTTGGTAAATTATAAATGCCTCCTCTCCCAACAAAATTCAGCTGAAGTATTTGTACCTCATTTGTATTTCATGTTTTTAACTGACTTGCCTAAGGATAAGGTTAAATCTAATCTAATCCAATCAAATCATTATTTATTTATTTATTATCGTAAACCAGCATAAGAAGGATGGAGTACAGTTATTAAAAAAATCATAGAGGATATATCAGAGTAAAAAAACTAAAAAGATTATGAAAAGCTTGAAGATACAAAAGATATATGAATTAAAAACACAGCATATATAAACACAAGAAACAAAAAAAATCTAAAAGAAGTGGTAGGAGCATTAGATGGGTGTAGGGAAGAATAAAAGGTTAGTATGTGGCAGACTATATCAAGGTACAGAGCACTCTAATATGGCAAACTAGGTGCTCATTAAATCTAGTTTATAGCACCGATCATCATCCAACAAATTTTGAGCGCTGCTACACAGAATCTGGCAACATTGTATGTTGTAGAAGGATTGGTATCTGAAAGCAGCAAGGTGGTGTAAAATTGTCCTGTGTGCCCTGGGTATCTACGCAGTAATGGTGAGATGAGGCTAGTGCGAATGTCTCTAGTACGAAGGTTAAATGTTTAACAAGATGTAAAAAGAAATTAATGCTTGCTAGGATCTTATTGCCAACTCACTGGACTGTCTGTTTTTCTTTCCCTGCAGAAATGGCAGTGCATTGAAGACACATCTGGAAAACTACGCATTCACAAATGTAAAGGGGCCAGTGACATTCTTGCTATCAGAAAAAGAACACGGAGTATACAGTCTCAGGGATACAGCAGCAAAGAAAATGACTGTGATTGTGGAGAGGCTGATTACCAGAGCAGTCGAGCCCAAAGGAAAAATCAAAGAAGCTTCATGAGAACCTCCAGTGGACAAAGTAGGGGATGGTAGATTTGGAAAAGCCAGGGATCTTGATGGGCAGCAAGGCTAGAGAATCATTTGTTCCCTATAGGTTGAAAAGAACCTGCCACTGGATTCAGACTGGCAGGTGTGCTCGTGTGATGATTTGATGGATATGAATCCAAGTGTACTTAGTCTCAAATGCATCTTGATTAATGTGTTTTAAAAGTAGAAAGCAAAACTGTAGGAGACTTAGGCGATATCTGTAAGCACATTAGGGATCTGACATTGGAGCTGACATTGCAGGGATACATAGGGTGGACCAGAGATAACTTTTCTTAGTTTGTCTGCTGGATGCACCTTTGAAAACTTATTTCTAGGATTGAACTCCTTTTTTCCTTTTTTTTTTAAACAACTCTAGTATTATTGCCAGACCAGGCTTATGGGATTTTTTTGGTGAAAAGCCTTCACTTACAGAGCACTGATTGCTAGTCACGAAGCCCTCTGCCTCATCAGATCAGCCTTTGAGACACAATAAGCAACCCTAAAAGAAATGTCCCCAAATATTTGATTAGATAAGACTGAAGATTTATAAAAGCAAGAAAAGAAAGCCAGATGGCTCGCTTGAGTTGGGGAAGAAGGAGGGCAGTCATGCTACTTTCAGTCTACAGTTGGGAATGTGCTTAAGTGCAGGAATGGATGGGGGAAGCTGCGTCCCTCAGCTCTGAATCAGCCTTTTTTTCTTTATGGAGACACACACACACAAGCTAAATCTGATAGAAATCTTGTTTGTAGTATAAACAATCATGGCTACATAGGAATTTTTGGAAAGAGGTACTTGAGCACCTCTCTTCAAATCAGTAAAGCAGCTGTATCTTTTTGCAAGCTTGCAAAGCTCTCAGGTAGATCTGTGTGTGTGTGTGTGTGTGTAGGTTCTTAGCCATTTTAATTCTCTAGGGGAAAAAAGTGAAAGATTTGCACAGTCCTAACAACCTGTTGCTTTACAATGACCAATACTTTACAATGACCAATACTTGCTCCTAATACTTTTTGAATTTTAGCTGATCTAACAACATATGTGCTATCTATCTATCTATCTATCTATCTATCTATCTATCTATCTATCTATCTATCTATCTATCTATTTATTTTTCACAGCTTATAATCCCTTGACCATATAAACCTATCCTAAATGTATAGTGATTGTGCAGCAGTGCCAATGAAAGGTGAATGTTAATTCTGAACAACATGCCCAGCCAGGAACACACTGCCTTGTTTGCTTGGAATTAACAAAAACTATAAAGAAAGATTAGCTTTGTAGCATGCATTAAATGTAAAGCATACTTGGCCCTCATATATGGCTTATAATAAAATTACAGAAAGGACAGTAACTTCAGATTGTTAAAATGGGAATCACATCTTTGAATTATCATCCTAAAAAAATCTTCAGGTGGAAATCTAGAAGTGCAAGGATAGAACCTTACAAGAAGTTTGTTTTACATTGCAGAGCATTCAAAAATTCAATTTCCTACCTGCAGAATTTATGCGATCCATTTTACTAGTTCATTCTTCTACCTACTGTACATAAAGCAAGTTCAAGTATGGTTCTTTCCAATTTA